AAGCACAGCAGTTTATAGAGAGAGAGAGAGGGAGAGCATAGAGTGGATGAAAAAACTTTTCATGGGTATTATGGATTATTTTCATCCATTCTGACTGAATTCCACATAAGGCAACTACATTTTTGTGAATTAAATTTAGCTTGTTGTTTTAGTCACACAGAAAATAATGCTTTGTGTGGGGGTGTTACACGTACACCAGTACAAGAGAAAACACTTTTATCTGGGGGAGAGGGAAAGCTTGATACTAAATCTTTCATAAATCTTGAAGTCTAGTGGTCTAAACCCAGGTAATTGCCAGAAGGGTTGTGGTTGAGTGGATCACAGCCTTTTACACTTGAAATTATTATATGAGCTAAATGATAGCTTTGCTTCACAGCTTTTAATAATGTTTACAGCAAATTTTTAACTTGAGGCATGAATGTGTATATACTCAGCTTTATTTCAAAGTTTAATATGGTATAGTTAAGTAGAAGCATTAAACTTCTACTTCCTTCATTTTTTCAGCCTCTGCGGATAAATGGTGTAAAAGTATATACTGAAAATGTGGACAAAAGACAGATCATTTTGGATCTTCAAATCAGGTAAATATTATTATTATATTACGGTGGTGCTCATACTTTATAATATGTGCTTTGATTCAGCAGTTACTTTGCCCTGAGAGGGGAATAATTGTTTCATTATACCAATGTAGTTAGTTCTAATTGTGTATGAGTGAAGGAACTGCCTGCTGTAAGTAGCATTTATCTGAGGGAAGTAGTGTATCAACTCAGTGTGATGGCATCATTAATGATGGTTAATAAAAAATACTTTCCAAGGCTAAAACACTATCTTTGGTGTTTTTCCTAATGTATTAAAACTTTGCCATGAGTATTAGCCTTCTCTAAAATTTAGGTTAAGTGATGTTTGGGCTTTTTTTTACTTTTCTTAGTTACTTAGATTATTTTTCTAATACTTTGTTTTTAAAATTGAATGATAGTTACTGATGTACTTGTGATCATATCACTAACTAAAGTGAATCTAGGTCTTATATAATGCCAGAGCCACAGTGCTCTACTGCTTCAGGTTTCTTTGCCCTTTCACCATGATCTCTTTCATAGAGGCTTATAAATAGATCTACCCAATGTTTGCCAAAGTCTTTCTCAACACAATATGCAGTTACAGAGTTTTTTGAAAGTTTGGTCAGTGAACACAACAATGTTTTTATTTTTGACCATCATAGATATGTGTTACAGTGGCTACTTTCACCTGTTGGTATGTCATGGAAAGGCCACATCTGTCAGTCACTGATGATCCAGCAAAGAGCAGCCTTCTGTGTTCCTTGCTGTTTCCCTGGCAGGAACCAAAAGGGTAATCATGCCTCTTGGCTTCTCTTTTTCAAAGAGTCACTTCTAAAGTTTGAACTCGGTCATTCTTAATATTTAGTTGTTTATCTAAATCTCAGCTATGTTGAGAACTGTGCTTCTTTTTCAAAGCTGGGCCCCAAAATAATAACAGAAGATGCTGCATCCTTTCCTGGGTTTCAGAGGGGTTTGTGGGATATTTCTGTGAGCAGGGCTCAGTCTTTATTGAATTGAATGATTTTATTTTTGTAGGAAAAAGACAGTTATCTATATCAGGTATTGGTGTTGCTGGACAGAATACAGCAGCATCGTCTCTTGAGAGCTGTTAGTACTAATGGAGAAATTTTCTTCATTTTTTTTTTTTGTTGTTACTTTTGGTAGCACCTGCAAGAATAGCCTCACCTCTTCAGACTTAAGTCCTCAGGAAAACAGACATGTCTAACCATTGTGGACACAGTGCAAAGAAACTGCTTTTGAGACACTATTTTTGAGGCATTTGAGCCAAGTCTTCCAAGACCATTTCTTCCTTTTAAAGCAGAATTATTCCCACAGGAGGAGAGAATCAATCTAGTGTGGTTTTGTGTGTGTGTGTGTGTTTGTTTTGTTTGTTTGGTTTTTTTTCCCCTTCCTTTTTCTTTCCACTCATCTTCATGAAGTAAGGTGGGACATAAAAAGGAAGGCTTCTACAAAGATGGCAGCAATAATGTCCTATTACCTAGAGCTGAAGGAAATCTTCACCTGTATGTCCCATTGCATTACATTGCAGCCTACTTAGAGGTGGTAACAGCTGGAGTAAAATTTGGTCTAAAAAGCCGAAATAAATTGCTTGAAGTGGTTTAAATAACAATAACAGTGCTGAGTCAGCTAGGAGTCTATTTACCCCAACAGCTAGTCCTGACTGCCAGTGGCATAGGCTTCCAGGAAGAAAAATGACTTCTCACTGAGAAAGGGCTCTTTTTAAAAGGCTTTTACTTATGTAAGTTTGAAACAGTGCCCCAGTATCGATTGTTACTTTCTTTTTGTTTGTTTTGTTCTCTAAGGGTTGAAGTGTCCAAGGGCTCCCGAAGGGTCTGGTTGTTTCAGTAGTAACAGGAATGAAGAATACGAGTCTCTGTAATAAATATTCTTGGCGTATTTAGATTCAGAGTTATGTACAGATACCAATCCTCAACTATTTCTTAGGGAATCAACTTTAGCTCAGTTTTGCAAGATTATAAAGAACAGTCTTGCCGCTGCAGAAAGGTCTGTCCGAGTATTTATCCCTGTAGAACTTAATCTCTAGTTAAATTAGTTTGTTCTAATTTTAATTTAAAGTTTAAAATTAGGAGCTTTCTATAAACCCTTCATTCCCTAAATACAGTTGAGAGGAAAACATGCTCTCTAAGGATTTGTAAGAATAGCTATAGAAAGCTAACCCCTGTGGGGGGGTGTGGCCAGGGGAAGAGAAGGAAAGATTTTGTTATTTATAATTTTAATTTTTTTAGAGTACATTCATTCTTTGAATAAATTTCCTTTTATTCTTTGAATAAATTTCCTTTTATCCTGCTGTTTCACCAGTGCGACTTCCCTTAGCCCTCTCTACTGTTAGTTGTTCGTGATGAGTTAATGCATTTGCTTTGGACCTTCCATACAGTATATTTAAGTAGTCCTCGTGTGTCTCCAAAACTTTTCTTTAATATTTTTTGCATCTTCCTTGAGGTTTTTAGGGTTTTACTTTGAACTTTAGTTGTAAAAAGACCGTGTTTGTTTTGGGGCGGGTTGGTTTGTTTGTTTCTGTGAGGCTATAGAGTGCATTTTGATCACTGCTTCAGAGTGTTTTTTAGAATCTTTTGAAACAGGTCCTGTATATTGCTCAGGACTCAGTTAAGAATTTTACTCTTGTAACCACCTTGATTAGCTAATCCACAAAGTAGTAATTGGAAAATATATGTAAAGATTCCATTTGAGGATCATGTTTACAAAGGGAACACTTTACCTTTCTCTTACTTCCTGTGAACATTTTGTTAAATTGTCAAAACTCGCATTAAAAAATAAAGTCTAGTTTCTGGTGACAAATGTGTGAGGGGAGAATTTTAGCTACTTGAGCAAATGAAGATAAAGTTTAAATAAGTTGTTAATTAATTGAAATCTTATATTTGCTAAAGCTCAAGAGTGTAGTAAACACTTGTAGAAAAATGAAAGGTTATGGATCAACAGAAAACAAGAGACTGTCAAATTAGATGTGAACTGTAGTAAAGAAAGACAAAGAAAAATGAGAAACTTGGGAAATACTGGTTATTAGCCTACAATTGAGTTTTTTGACCTTCTCATGTCAGAAAAAATAGAGGCAATAAAAGAAAGTTTTAGACTGCAGTTTTAAACGCATGGAAGTTGTTTGGTGGTTTTTTTTTATGTGGCATACTTGAATGGAGAAACTCATTATCATTGTACGGGCAGAAGACATGTAAAAATGGGGTCAAAAGACCTTCTAAAAAATAAAGAAGCTAGTCCAAAGTACAGAATCATAGATCATTATAATCTGGGAAACATGGTTGTCCTATTCTTTTTGTTTGTTCTACGGGCTACAATGACCACATACTTTATACTGTGCTTCTCATCTGTTTCAGTACAGCTGGTGTTATATTCTTACAAGACTGCCCTTATTAAACTGCAGTCTGTGTCAGTAATCTGTACAGCACAGGAGTCAAAAATATTTCTGGGATACTATGATCTGAATGTATAGAATTTGCTTACTAAATGAGCTTTCAACTTGTATGTTATGTTACAGTGGAATTCTGTACAGCATCAACTGTTGGTGGACCCAGCCAAATAAATGTCTTAGGGGATAAAACCATGTTTAACTTTATTATAAGTTCAAAAGTTGTTGACTTATGTCCCTCAAATGCAGTTTGTTACTATTTTTACTTCAGTCTGTCATCACGTTATTACGGATTTTCAAATTGAGTGTATTGCTTCCCAGTCTTCATAACACAAATAGTTCTGATGCTACAAGGTGCCAAGATTGAGGTTTCAGTTGCATGTTTTAATTGACCTTGCTTCTCTATGTCATGCTGTTATGCAATCATATATGTATGTGTGTATTTTTATATGTATATATATACACACACATTACCTCTATATATAGTTAGATAGGTAAAAATAGAAATTACTTTGGCTTAAACTGTGTATTAAAAATTATATATCTATTTTTATACTGTACGGTCACACCACATTCTTTCCAGGGACAACAGTGGTCACCTTCCTTTCACAAAGACCCCTACAATGCTGTCTTCCAGCTCCCCAAACTGGTCATTGTACCAAAATGATTCTGCATAAAGTTATCTTCTGAATAATCCACAACAAATTCCAGTGTTAGGTATTTACAAGTCTGTCTCGGCACTGTTGTTTATTTCTGTTTAAGGGAATGATTAGATCAGCATTTGCTTGAAATCCCATGGGCAGCACCCTTACCACAGAGCACAGGAGGCTACAGGTGAAAGGAACAGTAGAGGTCCTGAATGCAGGAACTCACACTTTCATTTTCTTTTGATAGTACCCCGTGGCCATCAGTTGTTGGAGGGAGGTAGGAGGGGTCTTGCTGTTCTGCTCTTTCTGTGAGAATAATTTATTTTACCTTGATTTGATCCTAAAATGGTCCCATAAGGAGAGCAACACCATTTTTTAATAATTTCCCATGTTATTCTAATAAGAATGCATCAGACTCCTAAACATGGCTGAAGTGTTTTTTGCTGTACAGGCTTGGTGGGAGGGAGACTGTGCTCTGCTCTCGGAACCGGA